CCAAAATGCTTTTTTTTTTTTTTTTTTCTGTCTTTTTGAGACAGGGTCTCCCTGTAGCCACAGCTGACTTGAATTCCCTATGGAGACCAGACTGGGCTCAGACTCACAGAGATCCACTTGCCTCTGCCTCCAAGTGCTGGGATTAAAGGCGTGCACCACCATGCCCGGCTATTCTTCCTGATTTTTTAATATAGGCACTTAGAGCTATAAACTTCCCTCCAAGGACAGCTTTCAGTGTGTCCCAGAGGTTTTGTTGTATTGTATTGTCCTTTTCATTTAGTTCCAGGAATACTTTTATTTCTTTCTTAATTTCTCTTTTGACCCATTCATCATTTAGGAGTGTGTTGTTTAATATCCACATGTTCATATTGTGATTACACTTGTTCCGCTGTTTACTTTAAGCTTTATTGCATTGTGGTCTGATAGAATGCATGGAATTATTTCAATCTCTTTGTATTTGTTCAGGTTTGTTTTGTGCCCCAGTACATGGTTGATTTTGGAGAAGGTTCCATGGGGCACTGAATAGAAAGTATATAGTCTGTAGATGTCTGTTAGGTCCATTTGATATATGGTATTGTTTAATTCAGATTTCTCTCTCTTAACTCTCTGCCCTGTTGACCTATCTAATGGAGACAGTGGGGTATTGTAGTCCCCTACTATTAATGAGTTGGGATTAATCTGGGTGTTAAAGTCCTGTAGTATTCTTTATATGAAGTTGGATACACCAGAGTTTGGTGAATATATGTTCATGATTGTAATATATTCTTGGTTTATTGTTCTTTTGATCAGAATGAAGTGGCCCTCTTTATCTCTTCTGATTAATTTCAGTTTAAAGTCTATTTTGTCAGATATTAGAATTGCAATGCCTTCTTTTTTCTTAGTACCATTCACTTTGTATATATATATTTTTGCATCCTTTCACCTTAAGATACTGCCTGTCCTTGAAAGTGAGATGAGTTTCTTGCACACAACAAAAAGATGGGTTTTATTTCTTAATCTATTCACCTAGTCTGTGTCTTTTGACTGGGGAGTTCAGTCCATTAATATTTAAAGTTATTAATGAAAGATAATGTATTGAACCTGTCATTTTTATTTCTGTTCACATTCTTGATATAGCTATATTTTTCTATAGTTATACCTTCATTGAATTTCTTTCTGAAACCCCTTGGGTATAGTCATTCCTTTTTTCAGCTCTTTGTATTGCTTCCAGAAGTCTCTGAAGGGGTGGTTTTGTGGACATGAATTCCTTCAGCCTATTTATGTCATGGAAGATTTTTCTTTCCCCCTCGACTATAGTAGACATTTTGGCTGTGTATAGTAATCTGGGTTGGCATCTGTGGCCATCTAAAACTGGGAATACTTTGGTCCAGGCTCTTCTGGCTTTCATAATTTTCACTGAAAAGTCAGCTGTAATCCTAATGGGTTTTCCTTTATATGTGACTTGATGTTTGTTTTTTGCAGCTTTCAGTACTGTCTCTTTGTTCTGTAGGTTTAGTGTTTTTACTGTGATGTGCCGTGGAGAGTTTTTTTCTTGTCCTGTATGTTTGGTATTTTATATGCTTCTTGTATTTGTATGAGCATGTCTTTCTTTAATTTTGGAAAATTTTCTTCTATGATTCTGTTGAGGATCTGGTCCACCCCATTACCTTGGGATTCTTCTCCTTCCTGTGTGCCTATGATTCATAAGTTTAGTCTTTTTCTGATGTTACACAATTCTTGCATATTCCATTCTTGTGCTTTCTTAAATTTTTCATAATCTTTGCTTGAGTGGTCTAGTTCGTCCACTTTATCTTC